GCTTCTGCTGCTGATGATGATTATGAACAATAATGATTGTAATCATAACAATATTTCGCCACCCCCCAAAAAAACAAACAAACCCCAAACAAACTGACCCACATTGAATCCAGTGCTGGTCCTAGCAGTGTTGTCGTCAGTGTAGGTAACGGCGTAGGAGAAGCGCGGCGAGCGACCCAGTCCGTGTAGCATCATGCCCGATACGATGATGACCATGGAGGTGTGGGCCAGGCGTTGGCGGGCTTCGCTCAGCTCTCTCCCGGAACCTTGGGTTGGCGGGAATAGCACAGGTGTCAGTGGTTTGTTTTGGTCAGTGTCTTACGGCTCTCGCAACGCGCGACCTCAGTGCTTGCTTGACGCATCTTCATTTCTTAAAAATAGTGAAAACTGTTAATAACAGAGAGTGAGCTTAAAAAGAAGTCACATTGTTTATTGGAAAAAAAGGAGATACGAAAAGAAAACACTGAGGTCGCGAACTGCATAAGGTCGTATGAGCGTGCAGGACACATTCAATATTAATAGTAAGACTTAATTTTGAATTGTGCCCCCGTAGTCTACTCTTATCGATTTTGGATCACCAAGGGAACTTTAACGTGCGCAATTTGCACGCGGAATCTCCGAGATTTTTCACCCTTTTCCAAGAACGCTAGGTGTTGGATCTTACCTACCCTAAGACAGGAAGTGTTTCTAAAACACAGTAATAAAACGTAGCAGTTGAAAGACTGCAGAACAAGGCAAGAGCCCAGAAATTCTGGTGAAGGGGGTGAGAGAAGAAAGTGAGACGAAAGCTAGAACACGGTTGGAGAGCAGTAGAGTTTTCAAACCAGGGACCTATTGAATGAGAGACGAACACCGTAACCTCTTGACCACGAGAGCCCCAGGTGCCAGTGGGGAATAGAACATACTAGCTGGGTCCCCTTTCGATGAAAGGAATGATCGGTGCTTTAATATCAACTAAAAGTCATTGGCCTACTATATTTACACTCTACTGGAATGGGGCAATAAATCTTGAGAGATGAAATAAATTACAAGGTCTAGATCTATACTCTCAAAACAAAACGCGCCTCGCGAAATATCACTTCCGGATTTTCGAAAAATTACAGAGACAGAAGCGTCGGCCTACAAAAGCGATCGGCGAAATAAAGAAATTTAGCTTTTTGCAGCAAAACTGTCTCAAAACTGAAAAAACCAAGGGCGCTGGGCTCTGGAGAATATTTTAAAGAATCTTTTGGCGAAAACCGCATGTCGATGGATGCAGCCATTAAAAGCCTTTTGAATAGCAAAATTCGACCACCACAAATAGATAATAGAAGATGATGGTTTACGTAACAACAAAGTGAAGCCGTAGACTTGAATTAAGATAATATTGACTTCATCAATGACAAATTTGATGAGGCATGGTAAATACATACCTGTTAACACGCTAACGCAAACGCTCACAAACACGCACGCACACACACACACACACACACACACACACACACACACACACACACTCACACACTCATCTACAAACACACACGCAGATATGCACACACTCAAACACACACATATACACATATAGAAATGCTCTCACACACACGTTTACACACACACACATACACACACACACACACACACAGTAACTAACCTACAGCAACAAACAACCACACACACACACACACAACCACACACACACACAAACACAGACACACACACACACACACACACACAACACACACACACACACACACCCACAGCAACAAACAACCACACACACACACACACACACACACACACACACACACACACACACACACACAATATATATATACCTGAGTCAGTAGAACACCCATCATCACTTATATTGTACTGAGCACACAACTGCCGGGAATATTTCCCCACGGGTACCGTCATCTGTGACGTCACATTGGTCATCGTCAGTTGACCTCCAACGACGCCTCCGCCCAAACCCCCGGTCTGCTCCAGGTCTGCTCCGAAGATGAAATGTGGCAAGGAGCAGATAATCCCTGACAGACCTGTGATCATCACCCCGAGACCTGTGGGGTAGAGATATATGTATAATATAGTGTAAAAGGGCATAGAGCCTGCTGTTGAGCAGGGATATGCGCTATACAAATGCTATCTATTATTATTATTATTATTATTATTATTATTATTAGAGGATTATGGGAAGACGTAAATGTCGACCAACCGTTAACTGGTCACTTTTAAGCACTAGTAAGAGGGTTATCCCGAAAAATGCTGTTTTGAGAAAATCGAAGGTAAAGTTTTTGCCCCCTGTTCAGTTTCTTTAAAAGGCAAGGGAGAGTTTTCGCTTTAACCAAACAAATAATATATATACACACCGATGAAACCAAACGTCTCCTATAGCTAGAGCAATGCCCACATTTGGTGTAGGTCAAGATTTCTGGATACCCCGAAATCTAGTTTAGCCTGATTGTCCTTTAAAATGACCAACTGCGAAAGACAATTCGCTCCTTTAGAATTACAAATGATGTCTGCTCATTACCTAGTTTTGAGAAATTTGAGTTAAAAAAATTCTGAGTTTTACATGTCAAGCTTTTTTTAATGCAATAGTTTTAACATCTTGATAACGACTCTGAATAATCTCTCGATTTTTCATGTAATAGAGCACATTGAACCTTTAGTTTCTGACCTCATGGTTTTAGTAACTCATAACGGCCAAACATGTCAGATAAAACTTTAGAATTCCAAGGTAGCAAATTCTGGGCAGAATTTAATTTACTCCAACCATTCTTAGAACAAGTTACAAATATATCGTTTTGCGCATGGCGTCCCAGCAACCCAGATGCAATCCTATTGCGAGCGCAAACCCCAGATGTTGGAGCAGGTAAAGTAGGTGAGTTCAGAAAGGTGAAGTGGGAGTGACGCTTACATCGATTTTCAGCGGATTACTGGGGTTTTATTTTTTAAGCTCCTCTGAAAACGTTTAAGTTGTTTGGAGGCGGGGTCTTAGAATTGAACACCCATTTCTGATAGGACAGAGCATGAAAAAGTCTCCAGAAGATTAAAGTTTAACAACAGCGCTTTTGTGATTCGAAGAAAACACATCCACACAATAGCTAAGCTTTCTTCCAACAGTATAATGACGATGCAACGATGGAAATGAAACGATAATGGCGAGATGAGAGATGAAGAAGGATTAAATCCGATCTCAAAATTTTACACCACGAAGATGGTAACTAATTTTTCCATTCTCTGTACATCCCCCCCCCCCCTTCCCCCATATATAAAATCTTCGATATCTGAATATTCTGCACACCTTCACACACACACACACACACACACACACACACACACACACACACACACACACACACACACACACACACACACACACACACGCAAACACACACACACTATATGTCTATATCGTGTAGATGCAGGAGTAAAATAACACTTACATTTAAATTTAAAAAAACCCCACACACACTCACAATTATTTTCAAATAGTCATTAACCCCCCCCCCCCCGCTTATTTTAAGACCTCCACCAGGATTCAAACCCTGACCTAAGACACGCGGGATGTGCACTCGTGAGCCGACGTAGCTGGCCAGCAGGACACAGCAGATATAGATGACCTTGTTGGAGGTCAGGATCAAGGCCGTCTGCTTGGAGTTCAGGTCAAACTGTCGCTCCAGAGTAGTCACCTGGTTTTGGTGGGAGAACAATAATTTACTATGAGTTGTACGTGTTCTGTAGTGTGTAGTGTTTTAACTCCTTATCTCCGGCAATCTATACATATTCTATTTACATATTCTATTTGTGAAAGTTCATCACTTTGGCCGCCTAAAACTTCCGAACCACTTAACTTTCGAATTTGACAAAATCAACCGTGGTTCAGAATCATTTAAAGGGTGCACAGTTCTATTCAGAAGCCTGGAGTCACTGTAGTTTAATTTTCAGTTTTTCATTAGTTTCGTTTAGATCTAATGTAGGGAAAGTTATTTAATAAAGAGAGGGACACCTATTCGGTATGAATTTACTGCATAATAATGTTTGGATTTTAAGATAGAGAGGGATTATGTCTACTCGGAATGAATGAACTGTGTATTGTTTTGAGTTTTAAGAAAGAGAGGGATACCAATTCGGTATAAATTTACTGCACACTGTTTTGAATTTAAAGAAGAAAGAAGGGGTTATCGGTTGAGAGTGGCGGTTGAGAGTGGGTTTATCGCACTCTGTTTTGAGATTTTAGAAAGAGCTTTGAGAAGCTCATCGGCAAGATAACATCTATTCAGTTCTTGGAAAAATCGAGATAGACAAAAGTATGTCAATGTACAACTAAGGCCAGTCCCAGAGTGGCTCTGTAGGTATGACCTGTAGTTCACCAAGGGTACGCCGTCTGCGTGTCAGCACAGCCGCACTAGGCTGGAAGCAGACAGGCCTACGAATGTAAAAAAACCCAGTGGAAACTAGGTCAACCTCTTGATTGAAATTTAAATGTATGATAAAGTGCATTTCTTGAGATTTTGTGTTCAAGTGTTGATGCTAGCATCAATATCTAATTGTGAAGCACCTAATAATACCTACGTCTTGCTGATTTTGAAGATCTGTGAAGAGTTTCAGCCGAAAATAAACACGAAACGAGGCTGCGTGCGACACACATCCGCCATGTTTTACAAGTGTTGAATAGCACGTCTGACGCGTTGCGCAGCTGAGCTCACAACAGACCACACAGCGACGCTGCTCAGGCACACGAAAATGTATACGTTCATTTGCACGGTGCGAGCTAGGTGAGCTACAGGTCAGACCTACCGAGCCACTCTGGGACTGGCCTAAGGGAATGTATTGAATTTGGAACCAACTGCGACTTCTAGCTCGGTAAGCGCACTAATAAAACCCTGACTAAAAGTAAAACTAAAGCGACCTACCTGAGAGCCAACATAAGCTCCGAGAGTCGACATCATCATGTAGCCAAAACTGTTGAATGTCGTGAAGCTGTGGATATTGGCACACCACTGCAGATAGCCGGGAGTGATGCAGCCAAAACCGCACTCTGTGTCCGCCTCCATGTCCTCTCTGCCCCCCTCACCACGTCTATGTTTATCACTCTGTGTGTCTGCCTCTTTGTCCTTTATGTCCACTTCACCACGTCTGTGTTGATCTCTCTGTGTATCTGCAGCGTCCCATCTGTCCCCTTCACCACGTCTGTGTTTACCTCTCTGTGTTTCAGGAGAACCCTTGCCGTTCGCCAGTGTGTGTCCTTTAGACAGCTCACCGTTCCCAGAAGCCTTGCTTGACATGTCGCTGCACAGATAATGAAGGCGATACAGTTAACCACATTGATATCTTCTTTGAAGAAACTAATTGATAATGATATTAGCACAAAGGGACCAAAAACATGAATAATAAAGAACAGCACCCCCTCCCAACCCAAGAACCCCCCCCCCCTAAAAGAATACGCCGACAAAACAACAACAAAAACAACACATTACAAAAAACAAAAAACAAAAAACAAAAACAAAAACAAAAACAAAGGCAAAAAACAAAAAACAAAAACAAAAACAAAAACAAAGGCAAAAAAAACAAAAAAACAAAAACAAAAACAAAACCCAATCCTAAAAGAAATAAAAAACAAAACCAAAAACAACCCCAAACAAACCGACAGTAACAAAAAATCAACAACAACATAAAAACCAACCGAAAATCTCCGCCATCAACAAACAACAACAACTACAAGAACAACAACAACAACAACAAACCCTTTCTTGTGATCTATCAGTAGTCGAAGTGGAATAAACGCACATAAAAGTACATGTAGAACATTCACTTAAAGCCACCTTCACCCTCAGGCATCTTAATTAATATTGACATGTACGAACAAAGAAAACAGACAGAGAAATCAAGGACTAATGCAGGCAGGTTAAAAAACTGATGTGCCGGAAATATGTTTCCAGAATCTTGCTAAAGGCACACTAAAAGACTGAAAAAAAACCTCACCATCACAACAACAACAATGACAAAAGCCACCACCACTGCCACAACAACAATCACCAACATCATTAATACCACAACCACAACAATAACAAAATAGCCACTACCACTAAGGCAAAAGATACCACTATCATCACAACTATAACAAAATAGCCACCACTGCTACCACGACAACTACCTCACATTACAACAACAAAAATAATTACAGCCAATACCACTACCACAACAACAATCACCACGACCACAACAACAGAATAAATAACAATAGCCACGACCACGAAAACCACCACCACCACCACCACAACAGTAACAATAGCCACAACTACCACGACAACCACCACACATTACAACGACAAAAATAATATCAGCCACAACCACGACAAACACAACAACAAACATAACAATCACCACCACCACAACACGACAACAGTCACCACTACCACAACACGACAACAGTCACCACTACCACAACACGACAAGAGTCACCACTACCACAACACGACAAGAGTCACCACTACCACAACACGACAACAGTCACCACTACCACAACACGACAACAGTCACCACTACCACATCACGACAACAGTCACCACTACCACAACACGACAACAGTCACCACCACCACAACACGACAACAGTCACCACCACCACAACACGACAACAGTCACCACCACCACAATACGACAACAGTCACCACCATCACAACACGACAACAGTCACCACCATCACAACACGACAACAGTCACCACCACCACAACACGACAACAATCACCACCACCACAACACGACAACAGTCACCACTACCACAAAGACAACGGCCACAATAAATAAGTAACATCAGTACGAGTAGTATACCCAGTTCATGTACAGGTCTAGTATACAGTCGTTGGATCCTTTTATACCATTATCCCCGAAACAACTCTTCGTATATATAATATAATATATATATATATATATATATATATATATATATATATATATATATATATATATATATATATATATAAAATATATATAATAAGATGAATAAAACTTAGTCTAAAAAAAAATAAAAAATAGAAGAGGCCTACAGTACTCTATAACAATAATATGTGAGGCAGCGTGGTGGAATCAGGCTCTCGTCAAAATAATAAAATCGAAGAAAACAGCAGTTTTCTCCCTGCTTAGCAATTTTTATCAAATGTTTGTTTTTTGGCTCAACACCTTTTATTTCCATTTACAAACACATTATTTGGAGGATTTCACTAAAAACATTGATTAAAGGCACAAAAATATAAATTTACAGTCTCTATGGACACTCCAGCTTTGGAATTTACCAAGCTTTGGCGGCCATTTTCTCGTTAATTTTACTTCTTAAACCAGGTGACCTCCACCTCCTTCGATGCAAAATATCTCCACTTCTATTAAAGATGGATGGGTAATTTTTTCATTGAAAGCAAGACGAATGAACAAGCTTTAAGATGATACTAATAACTCAATATGTACAAAAATTGACGAGAGCTTGATTCCACCACGCTGCCTTACATATAGTGGCCTTCACTTAAAGCTACTATTTTCTGTTTCTCTCACTTCTTTATTTTTCAAAACTTGAATAAACATCACAAGAAAATTATAAACAAAAATCCCGGACTAACGAACCCCAGTGGGAAACAGGTAGATATTCCATAAGGCACAAGCTAGTCTAAAGAGGTGAAAAGTAAAATCGAGATAGTAAAAAATAATTATGAAACTTTGAGTTGTCTACAGAACACCTTTGAACTATTCTCTCGTACTAGCATTTGCATACTTTGCTCTTGTAATAATATTCTCTGTAAAATGGGACCGCCATTACTCACCAGCTCGATAAAGTTATAATCAAATGAAAGGTTTTTTACTATTCATTTCATTATGGTCATTGAAACATAAACGCATTCGTTTGTCCGCATCTGTTGCTCTTGCGGGTTTCCCCGATCGAGAGAGTGCGCACTGATGCTGAACGTAGACTTTTTGTTGACGTATGTTTGCGGAATCATTTTGAGACCTGTTGTCAGGATGGGGCGGCGGGAAGTGACGGCTATGATCGCCTCTTTTCTAACACCTCTCGTTAAAAGGTGGGCTTTTTCACAACTGTATATCTATGTTTGGTTTTATTTGCAGAAGGCCACAATTTCAATGTTTATGGCAATGACGCATGACTTTTGAATGCTAGACCTAGATCTAGAATCTAGGTCTCTTGATATAGATTCTAGACAGACACTAAACATGGTTTGCCCCCGTCTCCTGTATGACCTAAATTATCTCCATCGGAGTGTAAAAGACCCTTTAGAAAAACAAAGTAACGAAAGAGACACTTCACCCCTATTTTACTCTTTCGCTACGCTAGATTTTCTACCACTAGCCCATTTCTTTCGCTACCCCGGTGTGAAAGTGTGTTTGAAATCTTGAGTTGTGTTAAAAATACCACTGGATGGCCAAAATATCGACCCAAGTTTTTCTTTTAGCATTGTCTCAAAACTCATATGGCAGCATTCATTTTTGTACCTGATCTAGATTATCTTTAGATTAGATCTAGATTCTAGATCTAGATCTAGAATCTAGATATAGAATCTATATAGAGTCTATTAGATCTAGATATAAGCTATGGAACTGGATCAATATCATATTATGCAATTATCATGGATGAGTTTTCAGACTACTATAAAGAATACAAAATATCTCTTTTTGTCTTTCCGCCTTTATGTTGCACAGTTTTCAAGAAACTTACATTGTGAGCTGCTGAATAAAAGATCACTATTCACGTTGAGTAGCTACTGACTGGTGTTCTTACATCGTATGCTATTTTCCTTTTGGGTCCATGTACAATTATTGTTGGTTCAGGGGTCATTATCGCCTTTTTTTAGGAAGGACTTCCGTAACGAGCGACCACCCCAAAAAATACAATAAAGAAGAGACCTAACCCTACCCCTAGCCCAAACCCTAAACCTACCCCAAACTTAAACCTCTACCCTACCCCATACCCCAAACCCAACCCCTATCCCCTACCTCCTACACCTCTGTTCTACTCTGTCTCGTAGTGGTCGCTCGTTACGACTGCACTTGTAAGCCAGAAAAGTGAGAAATGGGAACATGTTTGCTAGGATAAAAGCCCAAACGTTGACTTATTATGACGATGCTTGCATGCTCTGGGTATGTTTTTTGGATACTGTGTTTTGTCTCATTTCAGATTGCCATTCGCTTATTCCTAGGCTTCTAAACATCATGAGATGCTTGTGAAGAATCCTCGCAAAGACCAGACTAACAGTCTACAGAATCAAGGGGTCGGTTATCTTGCGATTAAACAAAAAGTCTCACAGTGAAATAAGTTAGAATCAAGTTCTGTCTTCGCAGTAGAAGCAGCCGACGTTTACCCAAGATCTCGCAGTTGTCCAAACCCCCCAAAATGCCGATCACAAAGACCAAAAAGCGCCGGAAACCCGTGGCGGCGAAAGAGCCAAGGCCGCTGTACAACAAGAGGCCATCTATCTGCTCGGAGACGATTCTGAACATGCTGGACCGAAAAATCCGGGAGCTGGACAGTAAGGGCCAATCAACGGGTCGGGTCAACTCATGCGCCAGCCGGACTCCCAAGAAGAGACCGAGCTCCGCCCCCGACCGACGCTGCGTGTCGTCTCCCCCGAAAGAGCCCGGCAAGAGCATCTTGAGGAAGAACAGCTCGTCCGAAGACCCTTATTTCTCCCACGTGAACTCTGGCGCTGAGTGCATAGACAAGAAGAACGCCCGCTTCTTTCGCCACGGCTCGCCGACTCCGTGCAGAGACTACAGCTCTGTCTCGTCCACGAACACCACGGTGCCGGACTGTCGCTCCAACGTGCCCTTCCACTCTGTGCCTGCAGTCGTCCCCCCTACCTCGCAGGCCAAAGAGTGCCGTGTTCGCTTCAAGTCGGATTATCTCGACGACCAAGAGTCGGATCAACAACAAAACACGCGGATGCGGACCGACCCGTCGCAAAGCTTGAATTTTTTGCTGAAGAAATACACTGGTGGGAGTGGCAGGTCGTGTCGGTACGAACCCAAGTTTGAACCGCGGGTCTCCACCTATGCCAGACAGGCGCTCAACGTTTCCTGCAACAAGTCCAGTACCGAGAGCGACTGGGAAGGAGTCAAGAGACTCGGCGCGGACATCTTGTCCAAGTACAGCTCCCTCTTCTCCGAGGGCTCCAACGCCAAGGGCATCACCAGTTCAGACGACAAGAGCGGCGCTCCCACCGGGCCTGAGTCCAACACCACAAGTGGCTCAGAGCAGGTCTCGTCGCCCGGACTCCATAAATGGTCCAGAAGTGCTTCGATGAATTTTGACAGAGGAGCGGAAGTAGGCACAGACTTTGATTCCAAAAGAAATACCAACGATTTCGATCAGCAGCAGAACGCGGTTAATGGACTGTCCAAATCCGTAGAGCCCTTTCTCAGCAAGTACTGCAGTAAGCCGTCTAGTATGATGGGCACCTCGTTTTCCAAACCACTCACCAGCGGATCGTACGGCAGCAGTTCGGCGCTAAACACCTTCCTCAAGAGCGGCTCAATGTTCAGCAGGCCATCATGGCGAGATTTGGACTTTCGGTTAACCGGCCTCGGAGCGTCGGGGAAACTGGCTTCGTCCTTTTCCTCCTCCTACCCTACGTCACTGTCGTCTGAGTCAAGCTTCAAGCGTTCCGGTCTGGACTTCAGCTACCTCACTTCTGGCGGAAGTGCCTCCAGGAACTATAATTTGTCCAAGTCGACGGGGTTCTCAAGCGGCTCGCCGTACGTGCTGCAGCGGTCTGTGAGCATGAACAACTCCAACATCACCAGCCCCGGCCACACAGCGCAGAGAGGAACGTCTTCTTCTTCCTCCCACGACACAGAGTCGGGCCAGTCGTCTGTGGACAAGTTTGTAGACGACGTGGTCACAGACTCCCCTCCCAACGCCAAGTCGGAGGATTCCAACTCGAAGCTGGCGGGGGGTGTCCGAGGCGCGGCCAAGTCATGGCGGCCAGGCAAGGAGGAGGAGGAGGAGGCAGGGAAAACGTACAGACAGCTGTTTGAATCCTACGGTAGTTCCAAGAACAACAGCTCTTGCGGAGACTATGGTCAGGTCTTGACGAATGTTGGAGGGGCGAAATCCCCACGGTCCTATTTTGTAGATCAGGAATTGAAAGCCACAACGGGTCAAGGGAAAGATAGGTCTAGTCACATTGGATCAGAAAAAGGAGGAGGAAGAGGAGAAAAGGGTGGTCTATCAGCAGGGAGAAAGTGCGAGGATACGATGGTTGACATCATGAAGAACGAGCGAGGCAGACTGAGCAAATTAGAATCTATCATCGGCAAAGTCACCAAAAGTCTGAGTTCGAAGGAGCAAAGGGAAAAATAAAACGCAATGTCTATCATAACTTCTGTCATCTAGCTATTTGCCGTCTGTTCAGTTCTGTTGAGTTTCCCCCGTCTATCAACACTTTTCCCTCTCCTCTCCTTGTTTCTTTCTTTGCCTATTTGCCAGTCACTCTTTCTGCCTGTCTGCATTTATGTCTCTATGCATATCTCCTTTTGTCCCTCTTTCTCTCCGTCTCTCATCTTTTCTCTTCGTTTCTTTATTTTTTTTTCTATCTCCCCTTAAACCCCCCCCCCCTCGTTGTCTGTTGATCTTTCTGCTTTGCACATATCCTGTCTTTCGGTCACCTCATCCCCCCCTCTCTCTCCCTTTTTCTATCTCTCTCCCCGCTCTGCTCTCTTTTCATTCGACATTACCGTTTCTTAATTACGGATACATCTGTCTACTCCAATTGTACAAGGATACGGTCGTGTTCTATCTGTCTATCTATCACAGATACAAACAGGTATTACTTTATCTATCTATCTTGATGGCTCATACATCACACACACTCACACACACACACACACACACACACACACACACACACACACACACACACACACACACACAAACTCACACACACACACATCCATATTACGTACGTAGTATGTATTTTTATAATGCCCCTATCAACGAAATCAGTTTATTACACGTAAGTCTTGTTAAGAGGCTGGGCCTCCAAATTTTTACCTTCATGACCAAAGCAAAAATGGGATGTTGAAAGTCTTGAAAACTCCATAAAACGACTCGAGCTCAAGAACAGTCTAGTCTGGGATTCGAACCAAAGCCATCTGCTCCACAGACCAGCGTCCCCCCCCCCCCAAACCAGGACAGTGCTACTGACTGAAGTTGTCTTTAGGCCATTCCCAAAGGGGGGATATTAACATGTTCTTATGCACAGTAAAATTGTAAATGGACTGATTTATCAATGTCACGCTCATACTGTGCCGGAGCAACATAGGGGGAATTCCTCATCCTTACTATCGTCATTTTCCTCTACTTCGTTTGTATGTTTGTCACTCTTTTGTGAACTGCTATTTTCGGGGTGCCTTGATAGTCGAAGCTGACTTTGTTCTGTTGAGGCTAGAGAGGTGAGCAGAGTAAGGCTGATTCCCTGTTTGAACTTCTCTGTTGACATCCACCACTTGTCGCTCATATGACCTTATGCAGTTGCGAGTGCCGTAAAACCCTTCTAAAACTAACTCGACCAGCATGATACCAGCTGACATAATGGAGCGTCCGAGAGTCAGAGAGAGGATAATTCACTCTAGTATTCGATTAAGTTTTTATAATAATAGCTTTTAAATAAACTGTTAGTCCGAAGAAGCAACGTTACTTACCTTAAGACAAACTGCTAGTTCAGGAACTGTAAATCCACTCTATAGTCCAACTGTTACTTGTGTTAGTCTAACTGTAAATCCAACGTAGAGTCCAACTGTTACTAGTGTTAGTCTAACTGTAAATCCAACTTGGAGTCCAACTGTTACTAGTGTTAGTCTAACTGTAAATCCACTCTATAGTCCAACTGTTACTAGTGTTAGTCTAACTGTAAA